ATTCTTTTTTGTTACAATGTTATAATATATATTTATTATTATTATATTATTTATTACATTTATTTACAAGATATGATGTGTACAAATTAGTGTACGCACTGCTAAAGATGGAGCGCATCATGGAAAATAGACAGAGATATTAGAAATAGAAATATGTATACAAAATATAAAATAAATAGACGAATTATTGTAAAAATCAATTACAGAGAATTACAGATTTAATTCCGTCACGCTAATAATATACGTAATCACGCAAGCATGGCATATGATAGAAAGAATATTTACTACCAGCGCGAGAAATATTGTTAATCAAGATTTAAGAAATTAATTGTCTTACACGTGTAAATAATTATTATTACGATAAACGAATAGTAAAAATTTTACATATACAGTTCTCAATAATTCTTACATTTATACATCAAAACTTTAAAAATTGTGCAACATTTTGTTATTTATAGAAATCAATTTTCTTTATGTATACATATATATAATATATATTAAACTCTTTCATTATTATTATTTCATTATAATGCATGTAGAAAATCGGTTAAAATATATAAATGAATTTTGTAGAAATAATTGTATATTCATAATTCTTAACAATAATTAGCGTAAGATAAATTAAAATTATACTTTTCAATATAAAAACCTTATTAGAAGAAAAATATGCGGGACAGAGATGACTTTTAATCATAATAAAAAAAAACAAATTAGATCTATCTATCTTATCTCCGTTGCAGTAGATCCTAGCAATTAGTTCGCGTAATTAATTAACAGGAGATTATATCAAAGTAGCTTAACCTAGCGGCGTTTTCTCATTTAATCTCAACTTGCGGCTTTAATGTTACGTTAATTAATTGCTCGTTTCCGACTGGATAAGCATGCACATTTTATTTAGTAAGAAGATACGATCGTGCCAGTGTTCCTCGACAACACAATAATTCTGAATCTTATGTATAGTTGAATGTCATCGGTCAAAAGACTTTCCGGGTTTCTTAGCGTGGGCGAACTGGCCTAAAATGTTTATATCGAATTTGTATCAAATTTTGTACGCAAAGATTCAATGTTTTTAATTGACAGAAGCAATCAATATACATATATGGATGATGTGCTAATAGAAAAAAAAAATATATATATATATAAAAGAAACACACAAAGGATTTTTTAAAAATATTTTCTAAAAAAAATATATTTTGGTGAAGAGAGAAAAGATATTTAGACGTGTGTATGTGTGTGTGTGCTTTTTTTCTCTAGACCGATTTTTAGGAAATGCTTCCACACTGCCTACTATTTTCTGGATTATCCGCCGCGGAATGTTCCCACTCTTCAAGAATGGGAAAACAGCGAGCAAGACGGCGAGAGGACCGCCGTGGCCGTATATAAAATCAGAGAGAAGCCTGAGAGAGGCCACGCCGCTGTTTTTCATGAGACCATTTTCCTAGCTAGTACAATGGCGCTAACTGGATCCATTTTAGAGCCGGCGGAACTACATGGCTAGATTCATTTTTTGATGTCATGGTAAAACGACCAGTTGCTGCATGTCCGTGATAAATACATTATGGATTAAAAATGTTAAATTCAATTTGCCATGAATATATATTCGACCAAAAATAGGTTCAAGAGAATCTGATTAATATAAACATATAATACATAAATAATATAAAATTTATGCCCCGTTTTTGACGCTGTTTTGGCTTCAAAGCACAAGATTTTTTATCTTGATTAATCATCAAACGCTACTCAAAGTATTTCATTGATTAATCTAATAATTCAAATACTCCTAATAATCCAAGACGGAGTATATGACGTCATTAATCGGTCTCGTAACAATCAAACCTATTTCAATCGAAAATGCTGTACGTTACCGCCGACATAGCTCTCAGGTTCATTAGAGTGTTCAAACCTCCTCACCCGGCAAATGCCTTCGTTAAGGTGGAGATACCATCGAGGAGGAAAAATTTTTATTCGAATTTTATATTATTAGAATCCATTAGAAATTTTTAGATATAGATAAGCAATAATTAATATTTGAAAATACATAATGTTTATACATATATAATAATATAATAATACATATTGAAAATTAAACGTCAAAAGTCTCGCTACAGGAAGGAACAAATCCCAAATCTTTCTGATTGCTCCCGATAGCAGTGATTTCGGCAGCGAATTAACGACTGTTACCGCCGTCATCATCTTCAATATATGAGATAAAAATTCGCGTAAAAAAACATGTTCTTCCACTATTAAAAAATATCCCTTTTTATTAAAAAACTACTGGATATAATGATTTTTATGTGTACATGGTTACAATCG